GAGGTGACATTTGATTATGGCTTTTGGGGATAAACTACAATAATCTGTGGAATTACATGTACCCAGAATTTTACCTGTATTAACTAATAGTATTTTCTGATTTTCTCTTAAAATTAATTAAAGTAGAAACAACATCAAAGAACATTCAATGAAAAAATTTCTAGCACTTCTAGAAAAGATTTCCAGCAAGTTCACCAGATCCAGTCTTCTGGTAAAGAGCTATATAAAATAACTGGAACTTTTGGTGCCAAAGCTGTTTCTTACGCAAGGAGAAAAATAGGTACAGACAGTGTCAGATTTTTTATCCTAATTCATTTTCCAGATTTGTGTAGTTTCTTACCCCCACTATATTTTCCAGTTCAGTGAATTCTTCAAAGAATTTTTGTATTGTGGAAATGAACATGCATGGTGTTTATTTGTGCTACAAATAAGTATTTTCTTTCAAGTAGGAAAAGAGTGGGAACCCATTTACTTGTTCAAAAGCAATTCAATTTCCTTGTTGACTGCCAAACAAGCCAGGGATGAAATTGATCAATTTCAGAAAAGTAATGAAAAGAATTGGCTAGGGATTCAAAAGCATCTATTTTAGGGGAAAATCAGTATGTAGATATACTTCAGGCTAATAAAATTATGGCCAAACTGAGTAACTACAATTTTTTGATATCAACATTGTTTTCAGAAAAATATTTATTGGGTTTTATTACTATGTAAAGAATAGATTTGAGTGAACATTCTTTGTGGTTCTTCACATTCCAAGGTCCTTACATAATGTAATGTTTCACTCTTCCAATTATTTCAGCTGGCTGCTGCACCGTCGATGAGATTATTGTTGGGTAAAAGCAAACTATGAATCTGTGTATAGATGTTTGTCTTTTTTTTTTTTTATTTAACTAGACAATTTTAGAAGTTTAATAGATGTTTGTCTTGTGAGGTAGGATGAACTACTGGAAAGAGGTAGAGAGGCATTAACTGACAATGAGGTAGAGAAAACAGATTAAGGATTTTGTTAGGTAGAGATTATGACGCCATATTTTGATGTATGACAAAACTAAAATCGCTGGCGGATATTTTTTATGCTGGATCATAGTAGCAGATACATGTTCCCAACTGGTAGTTTGAGGTCATGAAAGCGATTAAAATGTAGTTTGAGGAATACATTTTTTTTTCTTGCAAATGTTTATGTTGTTGAATTTTTAAAGCTGGAGACTGAGATTATGATAATAATGCATTTGGAAGATTTATCTAGTACTGAGAACAGAGCTGATTGGACAGTAATCAGTGAGAGACAAAGAAACCAGTTTAACAAGGGATTGTCATCATGGTTGTGTGAGAAGAAAAGCAATTGAACTGAGGTGCTGGAAAGAATAAAAGTACTAAGGGACAGTTTGAAGTAATTGTAAAAATGATTTGCTAGAACAAGAAAAAAGGAAAGATAATTTGACTCTTGGTATTAAGAGGGTTTTTGATACCTGAACACTGGCTTCCTAGAACTCAGAAAATCTGGTTTCTCATTCCAGCAGTGGCATTCACTAGCTGTGTGAGAAAGCATTATTTCCATACCTTAGATGCTTCAACTGTCAAAAAGAAGGTGGAGCACTGAACCAGTCTGTCTGATTTCCAGTACAAGAGACCTCAGTCTGGTGTCTCATCACTGAGTCAGACATCATAATGGATCATAAAGCTCTTTTCCACTGGATACAAATGAAACCTCATGATCTTTCTCAATTAAGGTCTCTAGACCAAGGGTCCCCAAACCCGGGGCCACGACCACTTCATGGCCTGTTAAGAACCAGGCCACACAGCAGGTGGTGAGTAGCAGGCCAGAGAGCATTATGGCCTGAGCTCCACCTCCTGTCAGATCAGCAGCTGCATTAGATTCTCATAGGAGCACGGATCCTAGCATGAACCATGCTTGTGAGAGATCTAGGTTGCGCGCTCCCTAAGAGAGTCTAATGCCTGACAATCTGAGGTGGAACAGTTTCATCCTGAAACCATTCCCTCAGCCATCCCTTACCCCAACATGCTCTGGATATCTGATACCAACTGAAGGAATTTTGTATTCACAACAAAATCAGATTCTAATGTAGGAATTAGGTTTCAGTGTCTCTTCTTGTTGCTGTGTCATCTCCTCATTTTATTGTTTTCAAGTCATGCAAATAGAGAAGCAGGAAAAGGAAAATTGAGAAACAGAATGAGGCAGAGGAGGCAGGAGACAGGGTGTGTGAGGAAAGCCTGTGTTAGTGGGTATTTGTGTTGGTTGGTCAAACTTGAATAGACTTCGTTACCACAACTACAATCTTTCAGTCAGGATAAGGATGTTTAACAGAATGAAGACTAGGTAAAGATCAAAGAAATGCAAGTCAGCACACTGAGAAACTAATAGGTAATTAACATCAAAATAAATCAATGCCAGAACGAAAGTGTTTTTCTCTTGTGACGGTTTGGATGTGAACATTATCTTCTTTCTCACTCAGAAGGGCAATTGGGGGATCAGGCATGAGACCAAGTGGCCAAAAGCAAGAGCAATTAGATCCAGAAACCTGGACACCACAAAGCAACTCACAGAGAGAAGGGATGTCCTTTCACCATTTGATGTCTGGTTATGATACTTCTTGTCTGAGTTAACGTTTTATTAACACACATATTTGAATACTTGATTAGAAGCCACTGTTGGTGCCCTTCCCAGAGGGGCTGCTGCAAGGGCTTTTGCTAATGGACACACGCACACACATTCACAATTCTATTTTTAATGGCCTCCTTTTTTCCAGTGAAGAAAATCCAAGTCAATACAATTCTAATTTTGTAGCCTGCAGACTAATGTCTATGATATAGTACATAATTATTGCAATAAGCTATTTCCATAGAGGGTTTTACAGCCTGTCTTTAGTGTAAATGAAGGTGATATACAAGTGGAATTAACTGAAGTTTTCTGATTTTAGGGAGACTTTGGTTTGTGCAAACAAATCCCATCTCATTTTGCCTTCATTAATAAATTGTTTCCCTATTTTCATTTTTAATGAAGAAAGAACTTTAATAAAAATGTTTTATTAAATTCTATACTAAATGTTAATTGAACAGACTAATAATCCAGATATTACAGGTATATTTAAAATATATCATACCTCTTAATTATAAGAAAAGTAACCATATAATAATATGACTATTGGCCGAGCACAGGGGCTCCCACCTGTAATCCCAGCACTTGGGGAGTCCGAGGCAGGCAGATCACGAGGTCGGGAGATCGAGACCATCCTGGCTAACACAGTGAAACCCCGTCTCTACTAAAAAAATACAAAAAAATTAGCCAGGCATGGTGGTGGGCGCCTGTAGTCCCAGCTACTCAGGAGGCTGAGGCAAGAGAATGGCATGAACCTGGGAGGCAGAGCTTGCAGTGAGCCAAAATCGTGCTACTGCACTCCAGCCTGGGTGACAGAATGAGACCCTGTCTCAAAAAAAAAAAAAAAAAAAAAAAAAAAAAGAAAAAAAATATATATACACACACACACACACATATATACATATATGACTATTAAGCTAGTTACTATGTCAAATGGTCTTAACTCTTAAATTGCAATATCTCAATTTATTTCTTCACCTACATAGATGTTTGCCTCTTCTCTTATAGTTTTATCCTCTAACTAGGTCTTCATTATTTTGTCAAGTTCTTATTATGTCTTCTCAATCTTCTTTGGTCTTATAATAAAGCTAATGGTTTTCAGTATTGTTTAGAAACAGGTATGTGATTCCCAGGCAGTAGCCTTTTCTCTCATCTTATCCTCTCTCTCGTCTACTTTGGTACATGCCAGCATTCCCAACTAATGATGCCTGATCAGGATCTACCCTTGTTTCACCAAAACAATCTATTAACCTTGGAACTTCATGCAATTGCTTAACTTACTCAGACTCATTACCTATTTTTACCTTGTCTGTTTCTTCATATTTCTATAAATTGATTGATTATCATCAGAATAAGGGACCTCATCTACCAGTCCTCCTAATAGTGAATACATTCCTTATCCTCACCCTCATTCCATATATACAGAATATATATTTTTCCCTAGTTTGTATATATTAGGGATGCTGTTGGATTTGGCTTTCTTCCTTATTCTACCAATCCCATTAAAAAAACAAACTTCGTTTTTAAATTAAATCCATACATTTATGTGACACATTCTTCAAACTGATCCTAAGAATATCATCTCTTTAATCACCTTGTCCTCTGAGACACTCTCTTTAATTTTATGTTTTGAGATCACCAGGTTGAAAGAATGAGAGAAAATTAGGGAGACAATAGAAACATTAAAGTAAAAAACACTTGAGGGCATAGGACAAACATATAGATTAATAATATGATAAGTGTGGTGACAGAGGTGCCTGTGTGGTATTATAAGGTACTTGGAAGGGACTTTTCAGTGGTCTATGAGGTAGGGAAAGAAAAAGAGTGATGATGATCAATGGGAAAACTGGTATTTCCATGCCTAATAGTGAAAAGTATAAATCAATACAAGTTATCTGAAAGGCAATTTGTCAATTTATACTCACAATCTTAAAGTGGATTTTACCCTTTGAAAGTCTTCTAGGAAAAATTTGCCCCAAGATTGCAATGTGATGGTTTTCACAGATACTTGGATAAACGTTGTTTCAGCAAACTACTCACTTTCTACTTTTAAAACATGATGCTGATTTTTTTTTTTCAAGCCTGGTTTCACATTCACCCTGTCCACGATGCCTATTTTTCAAGCCTTAATTGCTGCTTCCTTGTTTCTTATTTACTCTGTCCACACTAGCCAAACTAATATTCCTACTTTATTCCTAAATTGCTAAACTTTATTTCCCTGCTTAAGAACCTGCTGTGCATGTCCATTAACTAAAGCATCTACTTCCAAATGTATCTGGCTATTTTCCATGCTCTCTTTGACTCCTCTCACTCACGGATATGTCTCATTACTTTTCAGAATGATTCCTCTAAATCTTGTTCACTTATTTTATTCCTTATTTAGACCAGATATCTTCTGTTTGCCCTTCCATAAAGACGTCCCACCCATGTCCATGTTGCTCTTCGCCATCAAGACGAAGAGCCTGTGCTTGGGTAAGTCACAGGTTCCTATGTCTACTGGCCTTCGGTGGGGTTTGGCCAAAGGGGATGCCTGGTAAGAGATTAGAGGTTAATGAGGTTAAGGGTATGTATTTCCTCTTGATTAGGATGCTTTTTCCCACTTGAGGACGACCTCTGTATTTTCCAAGATGGGCTGCTTAAAGTAAGATGTTTTTGTGTGTTGGTGGAGGGGAGTGGATCCTATAACCTGTGCCACTCCTCATGCCTTCACACCCAGCATGGTAACAGCACTGCTGCAAATAGCTTTGTGCTATTGCACTATCCTCTATCTCAGCTTACACAGCTTTGTAATTATATCATTTGTAAACAAGCATTCTTGAAATTATTCTAATTTGAATATGTCCTCTTTCAGGGGGAACATGATTAATATACAACCCTTCTCAGTGAATGGTTTTTGTTTTTCTGTTTCTTAAGCTCTTTGGGTAGATTCTAATATGCAATGTTAATGAATTTGTAGAACATAATAAGGATTTTGGGCTGTATCCTAAGAGCAATAAGTAATGGGAAGTCAATAAAAGGTTTAAAGAGGAGCAAGATGCTATTTAAGATTTGTTTTGAAAGTATCACTTTGGTTGGTATAAACTTGATTGATAGAGAGGCACAAGGAGTTAGGGAGATATTAGTAACTTTGATATTGTCAAGCTAACTGTGTTCTGCTTGATTGGATAGGAGTCTCATCATTGGATAGAAAGGATGTAAAAGCTAAAGAATTTTTGTATTCATTTATATTTACCCAAAGGCATTGAAAAACATGCCCACACAAAATCTTTCACATGGATGTTCATAGTTGTCAAAACTTAGAAGCAACCAATATATCTGCCAGTAGGTGAGTGGATAAATAAATTAGGGTACATCCAAATAATGGAATATTATTCAGCTCTAAAAAGAAATGAGCTTTTCAAGCCATGAAAAGACATGGAGGAAACTGAAGTGTACATTGCTAAGTAAAAGCACTCAGTCTAAAAATGCTAACTACTATATGATTCTAACTATGTAACATTCTGGAAAAGGCAAAACTATGGAGACAGTAAAATAATTCATGGTTGTCGGGATATAGAGGGGAGGGAAGGATGAAAAGGCAGAATACAGAGGACTTTTTGAGGCAGTGAAAATACTCTGTATGATGTTATAATAGTGGATAATGCAATTATACATTTGTCCATGCCATAGAATGCACAGATCCAAGAGTGAACCCTATGAAAACCAAGAGCTTTGGGTGATAATGATGTCAGTGTAGGATTATCAGTTGTAATAAATGTACCACTCTGGTGGGGGATGTTGATAATGTAAGAAGCTATGCTTGTGTGGGACAGGGGCATAGGGGTTATCTCTGCTCCTTCTGCTAAGTTTTGCTGGAATCTAAAACTGCTCTAAAAAAATTAAGCCTTTAAAATAAATTAACAAACAACATCAACAACAAACACATATTAAAAACAAAGAAAATCTAAATGATTGAATAAGAGATTGTATATCAGCAATAAGGGTAACTAGGCATTCTTGATAGTGTATTGGCCCCCTAAGGGTCTCTATGCCCTAATCTCCAGACCCTGTGACCACAGGACAAGAGGGAATTAAGGTTGTAGATAGAATTAAGGTTTCTAATTAGCTGCCCTTAAAATAAAATTGTCCTGGGTTATAGTGTGAGTTTAATGTAATCACAAGGGTTTAAATGTAGAGAAGGAAGGCAGAAGAGTCAGTGTAGGAGAGCGGGTTGATGATACTACACAGCTGATTTTGAAGATGGAGGAAAGGGCTATGAGCCAAGGAACGTAAGCAGCCTCTAGAAGCTGAAAAAGGAAATGGATTCTCCTTTGCAGCCTCCAGAAGGAATGCAGCCCTGTCAATACTTTGACATTAGCTCAGTGAAACTTATTTCAGATTTCTGACTGCCTGAACTGTAACATAATAAATCTGTTTTTTTAAGTCACCAAGTTTGTGGGAATTTGTTACAGCAGCAATAGGAAACTAATGCACTAACTGTCTCGCTTGTGCACCAACTGAAGAGTGGTATTATTTATTGGCATAAGGGGCATCAAAAGAGAACCAGGTTTGAGGGTAAGAAGAAAAATTAAATTTGAATATCCCCAAAGATGTGTTTAGAGATCTCGAGTAGTCACATAACTATGAAAATAAGGTAGAGAGGTGTATGTTTGGGAATAATATTAGCTTTCACTGATTGGACACCCCAGACACTTTCATAAGCTCTCTCTCTCTAGGTATATGCAAAATCTTAACAACATTTTAACGTTGACCTGTTAACAAATGAGAAGATAGAAGGCCTACAGGGGCTTACAATCCTATAGCTGGTGGAATGTGTCCACTGATGACCCTTCACCTCTACACAAGATGGTCTACACCAATGCTTGTAACCACTAGATAAGTTGAGACTTTCTGTGTATAGATGTAATTGAAATGTGGGAAAAAAGGAAACTGAGCTTATCTAGAGATTTTAAAGGGAGAGAGAAGGAAAGTTCAGAACTAAGCCTTGAGAAACTACTGCAGTTAATGAACAATAAGAAAGAATGTGTCTGCAGAGGGGAGGAGACCCAGAAGGAATATTCAAAGACGTGAGGAGGAACTCCAGAACAGAGCGCTATTCTGGCAGGAACTGAGGAAAGCAGAGATTTATGAAGAAATGACTGGCCAGCAGTATTAAAGACTGCTAAGATGTCAACCAGGAGGAGGATTAAGAAAGGGGAACCCAATTTTAGCTTGGCTAATATGTATAAGACTGCTGACATCTTCACATATTGACTCCCATTTTATATTAACAATTTATTTTATTTAACTGTTTATAATGAAAATTTTCAAAGGCACATAAGTGGAGAAAATGGCATAATGAATCTCCGTATATCCATCACTAGACATAACACAAACATTTTGCCTTTTTTTCTGAAATATTAAAATTCTGATATCATGCCATGTCATCCCTCAATATTTCAGTTTGTGTTTACATCATATAAGGATACTTCTTTATACAACCACAGTGCCATTGTCAACCCCAGCCAAATTAATAATACATTATTATAATCTTATATCAAGGCTATGTTTTTTCCTGTTGTCTCAAAAATATTGTTTTTCAATTGGCCTACTTAAATTTTAATAAATTTTAATCATCATAGACATATCTAACTATGAAAGGTGTATTTAATTATTTTATTTGCATTTAGTTATTTATAAAATGTATTTTTTTATCTTCATTTGCTATTTGTGCTTCCTTTTTCAGTGTACTGACTTCTCATGTTGTCTATATTTTCTTTACAGGGTGCCTGTTTCTTACGACCTATAAAAGCTCTTTGTCTGAATGTATTTTTATCTCTAATTATAAAAATATAATATAAATGTAAAAATATATTTATATTATAACTTTAGTTTCTCATCTTTTTACTAAATCTGTTTTTAGTATAAACATGTTTGATTTTACATCAAAGTTTTTTCTAGAATTGATGTTAGAAATGTCTTCCTGTCTCAGAGAAAACACAAATATGTCATACATGCTTTCTTTAAATTCTTTGAAACATTTTATTATATTGCACACTTTAACATAGCAACTATTTTAGTTGAAAGAGTGAGAAGGTTTCAGTGTTTTTTCTTCTTCTCCAAACAGAGACACTTACATCACTTGTTTAAAATAACATCTTTATCGGTACTTATTCCAATATTCATTTGAGGTTGTATTTGAAATCTTAGTTATTTCATTAGTGTTTATGCTTCTTCCAGTACCAGAACCAAATAATTAAGCTTTAAATATTGTATATCTGGTAGATATCTTCCCTCTTTGTCACATTTATTTTACAATTTTTTACCTGCTATTCTCATATTTTCCAATCAGTTTTACTATATTATTTTCTAGTCTATTTCTCTCCTCATTCTTCACCCCTATATTTTACTTTCTCTGTTTTCATGTCTTTTTCTGCCTTTTTCTCACACACACATATGCGCACGCACACACACACGCATGCGTGCTATCACCTTCAAACTCGTGTATTAAATGAATACTCAATAATAAATGAATATGCTTCTTATAAATGTACGTGAAAAGAAAATGTAAGAATTGTGGCAGGAAGTACTGATGTCTTGATAATGTTGTCCTCTTATCCAAGACCACTTAAGTGATATTTTTTTATTCAAACATTCTTTGATGTCCTTAAGTAGTGTTTTAAAAATACCTCTTTATATGTTACTAACTTCATTCTGAGGCATATTACCTTTCGTATTGCCAACATTAAAGAAATATCTTCTCTCCTTATATTTTATCATTTTTGTTGTTTGCAGAAATAAAATATTTTGATTTTATATATAATTTTATGAATCAGATAATCTCTTGGGTTTCTATTTTTTCTTATTTTTCCTAGTGTTTTCTAGGCATCTATTCATAATATCTTCAAATAATACTTTTTCTCTCAACTCAATATTTACATATCTTATTTTATACTCTTAACTAACACCTAACTAGTGTATTCCCAATATAGTAGTTGATAAATTATAATGTATACATTTTTTAATGTTTCCAGGAATTATGTATATATGTGTAAAAAAGAGGAAGAATAAGAGAGATCATATCAAGATTGTCTATTTATTTATATTTTATTACTGTTGAATATTTAAAAAGTCATTTTAGCAACCTTTAGAGTTAAATTGATTTATATTTTCCTAAAAAATACACCAAGATTTTACAACTTTATGTATGATTTACACTATACATTTTATTTTAATTTCTGTAGATGGGATTATTTACCTTTTCTTTTTCAATGACTTTCACTGTTTTATCTTTTTAAATCTGCTTCAGAAAGCCAGATGTCATTAGATTTAAAAATCATCAGTACCTGAATTTATATATCAAGGCTACTTTTCAATTGATCTCAAAGAAGTAGTGAATAGAATAGTGGTTACCAGAGACTGGGGAGGGTAGGAGGATAGAGTGGATGGGAAAAGGTTGAGCAATGAATACGAATATACAATTAGAAAGAAAAAATAAATCATTGTGTTCTATCACACATTAGGGTGACTATTGCCAACAATGAAGTATTATTCATAGAAAAATTGCTAGAAGGAAGGATTTTGAATGTCCTACCACAAAGAAATAATAAAAGTTTAAAATGGTGGGTATGTTAACGACCTTGATTTGATGACTACATAATAAATGTATATATTGAAATATCACATTGTATTCCATAATTATGTATAATTATTATGTGTCAATTAATTTAAAAATGTAAAAAGTCTACTTTTCATTACTATATTTTAATTCATTAATTTTCATGGCTTTTTATTCCTGGTTTCCTTCTGTTTTCCTTATTGTGTTCTTTTTCATTATAATTTGGAAATAAAATTGTTAATTTTCCTCTTTCTTTTTTAATAATGCAAGTGTTTAAAACTCTACAATGTTTTTTCATGCAGAGTCTTCAATACTTGGTTTCGTATTCAGAAACTAATATTGCTATTTGTTGGTGTAAGGTTGAGATTTTAATTTTTTCTTTGATGTAAAAATTGTTTAAGAGATAATTTAAAAATATTTCCAAATAAGCGTCTAAAACTTTCTGCGTTATGATTTATCATTTTATTATATTGCAGTCTATAGCATTTCTATTTAGAACAAAACAAAATACATGGATTCCTCTAATTACATTATCTGTGTGTTCAAATATATTCTGGGTAGCTTACCCTTGACTAATTTTATACCCTCTCTATGCTGTGTGTGTGTCATCACTTCTCAGTCCTGTTTGAATGCTCCTCTTTTGTCTCCTTGTCTCTGCTAAGAACAGCATAGCAGGGGTAAAAGAGAAGGTAGCCAAAGTTTTAGGGTTTTGACTATAGAATGCTTAATCATCATTGGAAAAGAAGCTGTCAAAAAGCATTTTCCATGTGTTTTTATTAGTGATTAGTTTAGGGGGAACTTTCTCTGTGTCAGTAAGCATTTCTCCTAGCCAGGGCAAAAAAAAAAAAAAAAAAAAGAAAAATTTTTTCTTCTCCTTTGAGTCATTAATTATCCATAGTGGCAGGTACGTTTTTTATTTTTTCTAAAGAACTTTTCAGCTTTTTTCCATCCGTGCCATAATTTAAATTTCCTCCATTTACATAATTTCTTTCTGCTTTATTTTGTGAGGTATTCTGCTTTATTTTTTCCTTAAGGATTCGGACAGCAAAATTGTATTATGTGAGGTCTTACACTGTTGGTACATTTTAAATTCATTATTTGGTATGTTGTGTTTGGTTTGAAGTGCCTAGTGTAAACCTGCTTTTATGCCGTTATTTTCTTCCACATTGAATTCTCCCTTTTTTGTTATCTTGCTCTTGGTCATTAAGCGATAAGAAAGACTAATCAGGAAAGCTGTAATTTTCATCATGCTAACTAAAGACCTTATGGTCCTTGAGCCCATTTAAATGATTCCTGTATATCCCAAGAAACCCTTTGTCACAGTACAGATACTACAGCACCATTCTGTCAAATTATTGTTCTCCCCTGATATAACGGAGTAACTATCCAAATGAAATGATGACAGTTGGAGAGAATATTATGGTAAAGACATTATAAATTAGTTCGGTAAAAACATTTATTGAATCCTTACTATGGGATATGACTTAGGAAATGATGAACAAAATAGACATTGCCCTGATGGAGTTTACATCTAGTGAAATAGACTGGCACTAACCATATATTAAGAGAAAGAACAGAACATTTCAATTATGTTAATTGTTAGCAAAAAGAGGGACATGTTGCTTTGAAACGCTTTAACGTTGGGATTAGATCTCATCTGGAAAATCAAGGAAGGCTCTTTTGAACAAGTAAAAATTGAGCTAAGGGCTAATGGAACAGAGTTAACTGAGGAAAGCAAGTGAGTTTGTGTGTTAGGGGAGAGTGTTTTTAGTATTTTAAGTAAATGGAAGAATATGTGCCAAGGCATTGTGGTGGAAAATAGCATGTTGCATTGAGGAACTGTGAAAAATGCCAGACCAGCTAAAATAAAAGACCTCAGGTGTGGGTGGTGGACATGATATAAATTAAAGCAGAAGCAGCAGATGTAAGCAGAATTGTTCAAGATTCTATTGAACATTTTACAAAGTTTGGACTTTATCCAAAAGTGATGGAAAATAATAAGAAATAAATGGAAAGGAGAAAGTTTAAATACAACTAAGCTGCTGGGTGAATAAAGGATTGGAAGAATGAAGGATATGTTATCTTCTGTAGTAAAATACTCATCACCCTGCTAAACTTCATCTATGTTTTTTTCCAGATCTGGCATCTTATGATCTTCAGCATCCACCTGTCTATAGTGATTTGTCCAGGCTTTCCTAATGCATTAGTGCTTGAGTCCTTTCTCCAGGTTGACACAGCAATCCTTCATATCACCTAGGGACAAGTTGGTAAGTGTTCTAAGACAAATGCTTTGAGACTATCCCAAGGTGCTTTTGTTTAACAGAGAGCAGATTCAAGAGCTGTATAATTGCTTAACATAAGTTTTTAGGGAGTAGAAACACTGCCTAAGTTTCCAGGCTCCTGATTCTTAAGTAGGTAACCCAGACTTCCCCCCACTTTTGACTGAAGCCATCCTAATTATTATGAGATGAACCTAAGACAATTTGAAGCCTATAAGCTAATTTTTCAGAGGATAACATGGTTTGGAGTGAAATAATAAAAATTCCTTAGTTAATTTAACATTAACAAAATGGTAAAGCAATTCTTCATTTAGTACCAATAAACGCAACACAATTAATAATGGAGAAAGAAATTAAGTTAATATGGAAAGTATACATTGTGAAAGTAGGTATTGTTGATTCCAAAACTAAACTACGCTTTGTTAGCATAGCTTGAATTACCGTATATAATTATGCATAGTGATGGTGCTCTTATTTAATATAGAAACTTCATTAATTATAACATCATATGCTCCATAATCTAAATTGTAGTGGGTTTTATATAGTAAGAACCTATGTGATCTTTTTGAATGAATGCAGTTATTTCTGAATATTTTGGCTAAAATTTCAAGAAGTAGTCTAAATTAATGAGCCTTGGTTGTTTGAAGAAATTAGGCTTGCCCAAGGCACAATGGAATAGAAATAAATGATCATTCTCCCTGAAAAATTCATTCTGCATATATATTATAATGAAATCTCAGACTAAGACCCAAGTAAAGAATTTTATTGCCAGTCTAGTAGGTCCCAACTTGAGTTGGTTGTATTCAACAGGATGTACAAATTCATTATTTCAATATTGTATTAGTTAAAGCTCCAAAATATTTGGACATATCTTCAGATCCTCAGGTGTTCAATTCAGTTGGCTGGTTTTTTCTATAAGCATATCATTGTTTCTTTAAATTATTTAATATTAGAAAACACCATTCACTCCAAGGATTCTAGAGGCCTTGCTTAGTTAAATAATAACACACGAGTCATAATAGATGTCATGATGTGGATAGTTTGCTATGATCAACACTCATCTTGGATGCCAGCTACCCCAACTTAAGAAATTCATAGCAAAAGCACTATAGCAGGACAAACGCAAGTTAAGAGAGACAAGAGAAAAAGCAAAGAAAAGGAAGGAAAAGAAGAAAAGAAAAAATAAATAATTTTATTATCACCTTGCTCTAACTACAAAATATATTAAATATATACATATATTTGTGGTAGACATACTCAAAGGTGGTCCCCAAGATCTCTAGCTCCTGGAATTTATGCCCTATAACTTTTCTGCCTTTTTAACGTGGATAGAACCTGTGACTTGCTTCTGATCAATAGAGTATGGCAAAGATAATGGATGTCACTGTCATGTGAATGTTTCATAAAACCATAAACCATATTTCTAGGGGACACTAGCCCTGGCAGTCTTTGAGGAAGCAAGTTGTTATCATGCTGGGAAGGCCCTCATGACAAGAAGCTGATGAAGGCTTCCAGCTGACAGCCAGCAAGATACAGAGGTCCTGGGTCCAGTAGCCCATAAGGGACTAATGAACTAACAACCACACGAACACGAAAGCGAATGTTTCCTCGACTGAGCTTCAGATGAGACTGCAGGTCCTGCCAATACTTCAACTGCAGCCTTGTGAGATCCTGAAGCAGAGATTCCAGCTAAGCTTTTCCAACGTCTGCCCAAATAGTGAGACAATACATGTGTTTTTCTTTTTTTCAGTCACTATTATAGAACAATATACAAGAAAACATTCAATATATTTATATAAATTTATATTTTAAGTATAAAATATGTCAGACATCATAATAGGTTGTTTAATTACTACAATATTTAATCTGAAAAATAACCGAAAGTATATAACTCAAAGGAGAGGGATTTATGTTACTCAACACAAATTTGAGTGTGTTCTTACATTACTCTCTTCTTGTATTTCTGGGAGAAGCCAAACTGGGTCATGTAACTTTAAATTTAGAAGAATAAATGTTTTGATACAATCGTAGCCTTGATTTTTAATACAGTGTTTAATAATTTTATAGTTATATAGCTAAGTTGATTTTATTCGAATGAGAAAAGCCAGAGAATGACACAAGATAAAGGAAAACGCAGATGCGCTCTGTCACTTTTATTTGAAAATATCTTCATTTGGTATTTATTCTTCAATAATGTTGGGCATAAAATTCTAGATTGATTTTTTTTTCCTCATAATTTTAGGGAAACTTTTTGTCCCTTTTTTATTTTTGCTTTGGAGATATCTTCTGTATCATTTCTGTAATCTAGTTTACTTTCTCCCTTTAAATATTTATTATTTATTTATTTTAGTATTCTACACTTTTCCTTAGGAGTAAATTCATTTTTATTTACTATCCTTGAGATTCATTATGCTTTGTAAATCTAAGAATTTAGGCTTTTTATTCAATTCTAGAATAGTGTATGCCTTTTTCTATAAATATTTGAATACTGTTTTGCTTCCATTAACTGCATTCTCTTGTCATAGAACCCTCATTAGATGCATGTTAAGTTTTATTACCATGTCCTCCTCTCCACTTCTCTCAAATTTTCTTAAGTATTTAATATTTAAAAATTCATGTTTCTAAATAATTGCCTTAAATATATCTTCTATCTCATCAATGACTTTACATATTTTATATGTAAATGTTTAAATGTATATGTTTGCATACATATGTCTATATACATATGTATTTATAGAATTTTGTGTTTTTTTCTTCTCTTGTTGATATTTTCTCATAGTGTTTGATTCATTTCTTAATATTTTTAGCTTTAACCTTTTTATCCTATTTTAACAGATTGGTTAATCAAAGTCACCTGAATAACATTGTTATGTTATATTACATATATATATATATATAGAGAGAGAGAGAGAGAGAGAGACTCTTATTCATTTATCTTCTTATTGTGATTCGAATCTTGACCCATGTTTAGAAGGGTTTTATCTATGTGGATCCTAGGCTAAGGAGTTACCTTTCCAAAAGGATGTATGCTTGCCTCCAGCAAGTGCCCAGGAGTATGGCCATTTTTATGTTAGTTTCTTTGCTAAGAGTGTCCGGACCACACAGTTTGTTTACGTTGGAATCTCGAACTCAGGAAAGGTGATTGTGACATTTTAGACTCTAAGGACATTTTGTTTTTGTTTTTGTCTACACAGAACCCATTCAGACTGGAACACTATTGTCCTCTCCCTGTGCCAGCTAAAAGATGTTTTGTCCTTTTTTAAGAAAAAAATATATATTTTTATTTTGAGACTTATTTTTTAAGTTCCGGGATACATGTGCAGAATGTTCAGGTTTATTCCATAAGTACACATGTGCTATGGTGGTTTGCTGCACGTATTAACCCACCATCCAGGTTCCCTTCCCTCATCCGCCACCTCCCAATAGGCCCCAGCACGTGTTGTTTCCCTCCCTGTGTCCATATGTTCTCATTGTTCAACTCCCACTTAAAAGTGAGAACATGTGGTGTTTGGTTTTCTGTTCCTGTGTTAGTTTGCTGAGGATGATGTCTTCCAGCTTCATCCATGTCCCCGCAAAGGACATGATCTCATTCGTTTTTACAGCTGCATGGTATTCCATGGTGTATATGTATTACATTTTATTTATCCAGCCTATCATTGATGGGCATTTGGGTTAGTTCCATGTCTTTGCTATTGTGAATAGCGCTGCAATAAACATATGTGTGCATGTGTCTTTATAGGAGAATGATTTATATTTCTTTGGGTATATACCCAGTAATGGAATTGCTGAGTCAGATGATATTTCTGTTTCTAGATACTTGAGGAATTGCCATACTGTCTTCCACAATGGTTGAACTAATTTATATTTGCACCAACAGTGTAAAAGCATTCCTATTTCTCCATAGCCTCACCAGCATCTAATGTTTCTTGACTTTTTAATAATCACCATTTTGGACTGGCATGAGATCATATCTCATTGTGGTTTTGATTTGTATTTCTCTAATGATCAGTGATGTTTAGCTTTTTTATATATATGTTTGTTGGCTGCATAAATGTCTTGTTTTAAGAAGTGTCTGTTCATAGCCTTTGCCCAGTTTTTGATGGAGTGGTTTTTTTCTTGTAAATTTGTTGAAGTTCCATGTAGATTCTGGATATTAGACCTTTGTCAGATGGGTAGATTGGAAAAATTTTCTCCCATTCTGTAGGTTGCCTGTTCACTCTGATGATAGTTTCTTTTGCTGTGCAGAAGCTCTAGTTTAATTAGATTCCATTTGTCAATTTTGGCTTTTGTTACAATTGCTTTTGGCGTTTTCATCATGAAAACTTTGCCTATGCTTGTGTCTTGAAATGTTATTGCCTAGGTTTTCTTATAGGGCTTTTATGGTTTCGGGTTTTACATTTAAGTCTATATTCTATCTTGAGTTAAGGTTAGTATTTTTATATGTGAATTTGATCCTGCCATCATGATGCTATCTGGTTATTTTGCACACTCATTGATGCAGTTTCTTCATAGTGCCATTGGTCTTTATATGTTGGTGTGTTTTTGCATTGGCTGGTACAAGTTTTTCCTTTCCATACTTAGTGTTTCCTTCAGAGTTCTTGCAAGGCATGTCTGGTGGTAATGAAATTGTTCAACAGTTGCTTGTCTGGAATTTTATTTTTCCTTCACTTATGCAGCTTAGTTTGGCTAGATATAAAATTCTGGGTTGAAAATTCTTTTAAGAATATTTAATAATAGTCCCCACTCTCTTCTGGTTTGTAAGGTTTCTGCTGAGCTCTGCTGTTAGTCTGATGGGTTTCCCTTTGTAGGTAATCTGGCCTTTCTCTCTGGCTACCCTTAACATTTTTTTCCATCCTCTTGACCTTGATGAATCTGATGATTATGTGTCTTGGGGTTGGTCTTCTCGTGGAGTCTCTTAGTGGTGTTCTCCCTATTTCCTGAATTTGAATGTTGGCCTGTCTTACTAGATTGGGAAAATTCTCCTGGGTAATATCCTGAAGTGTGTTTTCCACCTTGGTTCCATTCTCCCTGTCTCCTTTGGGTACGCCAATCAGTCATAGGTTGTCTTTTTACAGAGTCCCATATTTCTTAGAGGCTTTGTTCCTTTTCATTCTGTTTTCTCTAATCGTGTCTGCATGCCTTATTTAAGCAAGGTAGTCTTCAAACTCTGATAACCTTTCTTCCACTTGGTCAATTCAGCTATTGATACATGTGTATGCTTCACAATGTTCTCGTGCTGTGTTTTTCAGCTCCATCAGTTCATTTATGTTCCTCTGTAAACTGGTTATTCTAGTTAGCAGCTCCTCTAAGCTTCTTTCAAGGTTCTTAGCTTCTTTGCATTGGGTTAGAATATGCTCCTTTAGCTCAGCAGAGTTTGTTATTACTCATCTTCTGAAGCCTGCTTCTGTCAATTCATCCATCTCATCCTCCGTCCAGTTGTGCGCCCTTGCTGGAGAGGCATTGTGATCATTTGGAGAAGAGGCACTCTGGCCTTTTGGGTTTTCAGCTTTTTTTCATTGATTCTTTTTCATTTTCATGAGTCTGTCTAGTTTTGATCTTTGAGGCTGCTGACTCTTGGATGGGGTTTTTGTGGGGACATTTTGTTGTTGATGATGCTGTTGTTGTTACTTTCTGTTTGTTTTTCTTTCAGTGGACAGGTTCCTCTTCTGTAGGGTTACCGTGGATTGCTAGGGGTTCACTTCAGGCCCTATTCATTTGGTTAGTGGCTGGGCCAGGAGATGTCACTCAAGGAAGCTAGAGAATAGCAAAGATGGGTAGCTGCTCTTCCTCTGGTATCTCTGACCTCAATGGCCACCAACCTGATGCCAGCAGGATTGGTCCTGTATAGGGTGTCTGACAACCCCTGTTGGAGGGTCTCACCCAGTTGAGTGGCACAGGGAATAGGACCTGTTTAATGTAGCACTTTAACTGTCTCTGGTGGAGGGGGTGTGCTTCATTGCAGGGAATCCCACTTGTCTGGGCTGCCGGATTCCTCAGTACTAGCAGGGGGAAAGGCTAAGTCTGCTGGTCTGCAGAGACTGCAGCCACCCCTCCCTCTAGGAGCTCAGGCCCAGGGAGATCAGAATTCTGTCTCTGAGCCTCTGGCTAGAGTTGTTAGAGTTGTTGGAGTTGTTGGAGTTCCTGCAGGGAGGCCCTGCTCAGTGAGGAGGGATGGGTCAGGGTCTGGCCTGAAGAGGCACTCTGGTTGCAGTCTGCCACAGGCCCTGTGTTGGGCTATGGGGGACACCTGTTGGGATCAAGTTGTCCAGCCCCCCTGGCTCCAGCAGGGGAAAAGCGTGGCCTGGAGCTATAGAGATTGCTGCCGCCCTCCCCCGCACCCAGGGAGCTTAGCATATTAGGCAGCTATCAGATCCAGTGCTGGCTGCTGCCCCTCCAACAAGGAGCTCAAACAGCTTAGACAACAGGCAGTCACCGCTGTGGTGCTTGTCGTCCCTCCCCCTGGGAACTCAGCAGGCTTAAGCAGATTCTAGCTGAAAGACTGTGGAGAATCTGAGCTCCAGTGTTGGGACCCTAGGCCTCCGTGGCGTGGGATTACAGGCGTGAGCCACCGCACCCGGCCATTTTTAGGTTTTTCAAAATTTCTTCCTGGTCCTTGGCAATTTTATTTGGAGGCCTGTGAGGTCATCTTTGCTTTTACGAGGCTGTTTTTTTATATATTATCTAACATTTCTAGCTATCTATATGGTGAATTTGTTC